TCAATTTTGTTTTAATTAAGAGGATTTTTTTATTTTCTGAAATATACTGAATAAAAAAATAGATAAATAAATATAAATAGATAAAATTAAGATTTCAGAAAAATAATTTTTTATTGTACTTTAATTTTATTTTTTTCCAAACTATTCAATAGTATTGATTGAGAATTTACAAACTATTATCCCCTTTTTGTGCTACATTTTCAAACTCTTTTAAATAAATTAAAGGTAATGATTTTTTCCCCTAAAATAATATAGATATTTATGTATGATAAATAAAGTGTTTCTATAAAGTTTTGTGTAGTTTAATTCATTTATTTATCATTTTTAATTATTAAAACATTCTTCTATATCATCATAAAATACAGAAGTTTATGTTTCAATTTTTATAATAAATATAGACGAATTGAGATAAAAACAGATCACTTTGATTTTTAAGGAATTCCTAAGTAAATAAGGTAATTGATGAAGCACCTGTTAATTGATATCAGTTCACTTTGAAATTTTTAATAAGCAAAACTATCTTAACAAGTGTCAAAGAAAATGATGTGCTGAACTTGCTTATGATGCAGTCCAAGTTGTAAGTTATACAAGAACAACACAGGCTACAGAAAATGTATATATACAGATATCTGGAGATGGACTAAATGACTTGTAAATATTGTAAATATGTGGGATATGAAAGTGAAACAGTGCTATTTAATATATAATGTGAAAATCAGCGCCGCTAAACAATAGAACTTCAAGATAATTTATAGATTTTAATATGTTTTGTGCTTGTAAAATTATTTATTTAAAATTATGTATATAAAATATTTATTCATACTAGTGCTCAAATAAAGAAAATTGAATTAAAAATTCATTCAATTATTTCATTTAAATTCTAGTAGATTATTCATACAGGTAAGTCTACCTGTACCCCTTAGAGGGCCCCTTAACTGAGTGTGATAATTACTTGTTGTTTTTTCCGAGTAGCCATTCGGGGAATAAACCGTTTACTATGCTTCATGGATCAGTGAATTTTCACACGTCGTAGAAATGTTTGCCTTTTATTTATTTTTTCTCCAGATTCCCTCTGGCTGAATATATTGATTTTAAGTCCCCTCTGGTTAAATGTATCGATTTTAAGTGAAACAACTCTATAAAACCGTAATATTCTATTTATTTATTCACTAATCATTAAGATCAAGATTTAGTAAATGACTTTGATGTCATAATCAATTTCAACTTTCTTTTTTCCGTATTTTACGGCTTTAACAGAATAATGTAGAAAGTACGCTATTTTCATGGAATTCAATTTGAAATCATATGAAAAGTAATCCCATATATATCTATTTTAAAGATATTATTTTAAAGAAGATGCCATATGAAAGACTAGGCAATATGGATACATTTCCTTTGTCGAATATGAAAAAAACTCCCATATTCATGTCTGGTTTTCTTAATTTTTCATTAAAAATGACAGTTGAAAATATGGTTTTTCATCTTGTTTAACTGCAAATTATGATCCGAAACACTTCGATCATTTGGCCAAGCTAAAGTTATTAAGCATCATTAAAGGAATTCATTTCTCAAAATTGATATATCTGTAGGCATCTTTCATTTACTAGATCTTGACCTTACAATTACAATTAAAACAATATAATCATGATTATAACAAGTAATGGTTGCATTTTAAAGTATAATATTGGCATGATCCTCACTAGCAAAAGTTCTCACTAACCCTGCAATTAAATTACTGGTAAATGGTTCACAAAGAAATATATAAAGCATCACATTTAATAATAGTTACTGTACAATATAAAGCGAAACCAAACTGCTATACACTTCAATGAACAGAAGTAGATCATAATATTAAGCAAGTAATCATAAAAGTACAACGGTACGTACTACCGGGTATTACATTAAATATATATACATTTTGCTGGCCTGGTTGGAGAGGATGCCTATATTGCGCAGTCTGGCAAAATGTATTTCTGAGAAGAAAAACCCTGCTTGCTCGGTCTTGTACCCCAAGCAATCAACACAGCTTACAGGAGGAAAACTTAACTGACTTGTTGGTCTGACATGGATACCTAGGGTATGGCACGCCAAATTCACAAAAATGAGATAAACCTAGTTTCACATTTGATAAACTAGGTTTATCGACTGTAAACTATAGTTTACAAACCGTAAACTATAGTTTACGATTCGTTAAGTATAGTTAACGATTCGTTAAGTATAGTTTTCATCTCTAAAACTATATTCAACGGTTGTTAACTATAGTTTACGAATGATAATCTAAGTTTATCTGTCTGTAATAAGCGTTAACAATAGATTTTGTTGATAAACATATATTCACGTTTGTAAACTATAGTTTACAATCGTAAACTATAGTTAAGAGTTGTTAATCATAGTTTCACAAATCGTGAAATTAATAGTTATTGTATATTTATTATGGTGTATCCTGAGTTATTTGGACGAAGGGCGGTGTCGAGTGCGAAGCACGAGTCTCCGCCCTTCGTCCAAATAAATCAGGATACACCATAATAAATATTCAATAACTTTCTTGTATCATGGCCAATCAAACGTCATGTCACAGATTTTCAGCATGATTTTTAATTACACCAATGGAAAATGTAGTTTTTGTCAGGTGACCGCATGGATAATCTCTCCTTCCTGTCAGTATTTTTAATAAACATTTTACGTGCGTGTGTTCGTGAGAAAGGACGTCGGATTGCAGCATCCCAGCCCCCCCCCCCCCGGATTTTAGAGTGTGGTGCAAGGGTTTTTTCCTTGTCAACTGTTTCTGGAGGCCCCCTTTCTTTTAAATGTAGCTACGGACTTAAAGTGGCCGAGGTGTGATTCTGAAGTTTCTGTGCATGAGTGCTGGGGGCACCGACCTGGAGCCTCCCCCCTTTCAAAAATTGCTGGATCCACCCCTGGATTGTTAATGAAATTCACAAGAAAACCTTTGGATATCAAAGAAGAAAAATTCGAAGTTGAAGAAAGTAAATTCAAGTGTTATTCGAAAATCAAGAAAAAAAGATACTCGTTGATCATTTGACATATTCGAGAGCTGTCGTATTCACGAAAACGCTGTGTCAGGGTCAATTACTCTTCATCTGTGGATGCAGTACAGCTTAAGCCTATATAACAATAGGTGGGATATTTAATATATTTCTGTGTGGAATTCATGTCAAGAATTTGATTTCTCGTTGCTGTGGATTGAATATTTGAAGAGCTCCGTAAAATCATTTCGTAGTTTGGGATATATACGTACTGTAATTTATGTGAAATACTTTTATTTCACTTGCAGAAATTTTGCATTTGTATATTACAATATTTCATTCTGTAATTCAGATTCAATATACATGTAATTTAAAATGATGAAATCGCCTTGGTGTTCAATAATTTATTTACACGGCACAGATTTTGCTGGCTCCGCCCATTGGTGTATCTCCAGTTATTGTACACTTGACTTCAAAGGAAAAACACCGCAGCCATGATATAACTATATTTATCAGATCGTTAACTATAGTTAACGGTTTGTAAACTATAGTTTACAAATCGTGAAACTGTATTTATCAGATAATCTATGTTTTGCAATCGCAAATGATTGTTTTCGGTGTTAAGTATAGTTTACGGTTGTGAAACATAGATTATCGCGTTAACTATGGTTTACAGATGTGAAATATAGATTAACGTTGTTAACTATAGTTTACAGTCCGTAAACTATAGTTTACAACCGATAAACCTAGTTTATCGATTGTGAAACTATGATTCGCTCATTTTTGTGAATTTGGCGTGCCATACTAGGGACTCCAGACTGTTTAGCAGTCTGACGATACAGAATGTCAGTCTTGTACTCCAAGTAGCCAAGACAGCTTCTGCGTATAAAAAGACCCTACTAGAGTACTAGTATATATCACCTGAAATGTAATGCATAATACATGTAAATATACTTCGGGAGTCATACTCAATATTGTTCTGAATCATTTTACAGATTTAATTGATATAGAAATGCATAACTGTAAAATAAATCTATAAAGTATGGGGAAAATATGTATTATAGGTTAAATAGCGACAAAGTCGCCATATATTAGACAGAAAATTGCCACTCTTCTCGAATCTTGCAAAAGGATCATGATACGTCAGACATACTACCGACAATTCAAGGCAGCAGAACGTGGTCATTCTTTGGTAAAACCATAAACGTATAGTGTTATATACATAAATTAGTAGTAATATTAATTAGGAGAAATTGAACTGTTAATGAAAATAAATTATCAAGTGGAGTTTTCACTTCTTTTATGTTGAGTATACATTCTTTGGTATATACATGCGCGGATCTAGAGGGGGGGGGGGTCTGGAACCCCTGGAATTTGCAGAGTTAATAAATGTATATTGTAAACCAAGTAAATGTTGCCTTGGACCCTCCTAGAAAACACGGATCTATGTGATATTGGTATGAAAAAGTCATTAGTAAGAAGATTAAAGTCATCCACTACCCCTATCCCACGAAATAGGTTTTTCACGTTTGTGAAATGAGTTTAGGTTTTTTTTTTTTTTTTTTTTTTTTGCTTGTCAAGACTCAAATTTCTGGGTTGGAATTTTTTTTGACTGGGGTGGACCTCTCCTGGAAAAAAATTATGGATCCGCGCCTGATATGAAATACTTCAGCTCGACATAATTTTTGTTCATAAAGTCATATTACACCAGAGACGTAAAATATACGTCTCTGATTACACAGAGGCATTCTTTCTTTTTAAAAAGCTGACAAGTACAAAAAAAGTTTCCAAAAAAACTTTGTACGGAAACAAACACCCCCTTAAAAAAAACCCCCAAAAACAAAAACCCAATAACTTAACTTCCAAAATTCAAAACATTCTATTTTATGATTGATCATTGATGGGATTGAGGTCCTCTCCTTTTTTTGGACAATGAATCCAGTCTGATAAGTTAGCCTCAGATGCAGGAAGGATAACTGAATCTGTTTGCAAGTTACTACTGGAACTCTTCTACGTTTGAAGTTACGATATGGCGGCTATGGAAAATGGCCTCCAAATCTGAAACCGTAAGGATAACATACAAAGAACTGGAATCCTCTGTGCAAGATAAAGACAGACTAAATCGAAATTCTGACAGAAGCAATAACGATGGTAATATTTATTTATATAACGCTCGTACCACAACAATTCTTCACTGAAACATCATGCAGTGCTACTTTTGTTTTCATTTTGAATTTTAAGAATTCTTTTCACCATATTTTGCCCAACAGTAGCTGCAGGTCTGTGGCTCTCCGAAAAAAATATATTAATAGACCAGAGAGCTACAGTGCCACCCATTGAAAAAACTATATATTTATTGCGCACAAAAAAAGTGCTCTCGGTTCTTGATTAATTCTTCCAAATTCTTACCTGAATTGCAACAAATGGAGGATTTTAAACATTCCTTTCTCCTCTATCAAGTACTCTCGTAGTTGACATCTAAACGAAGCATATTAGACCGAATTATCTTTGAAACCAAAATGGCAGTATAAATAAGCGAAATGTTCTATGATTACAATATTAGGGTCAGGAGGACTATTAACAACAATTATGAGGAATGTTTGGTTGTGGAAACAGCGAAAGAATATGTTCGGAACACGCGGTTAGTAATGCTTTGAGATCACAGATTAAAAACATGATATAAATTGAGAACCGAGCGCACTTTTTTGTGCGCAATAAATATACAGTTTTTTCAATGGGTGGCACGGTAGCCATGGTAGCTCTGCGATCTATTAATATATTTTTTCGGAGAGCCACAGACCTGCAGCTAGCCCCACAGGTACCATGTTGTGAGACTTATACAATATGCATATTACACTCTTATGGAGACTTGATAGTTATTAACTGTTTTATTTCCCCCCTTTTTTCCTCTTTACGTTCGTAATAGTAATGTGTTGCAAGCATGTTCTCGTGGTTAACTTACCAGGTCCAGTAAAATCATTAGATTTAGTTATATAGCTTAAAATTTCCTTGACGAATATACACAGTTTTCAGTAGAAATTTCCTCTGTTTTTACATGTTGAACTATTGAGCTTGCTTTGCAAGCAGCAATCCATGCTCTAAGCTGTGCTAGCAATTATTTTTTTAATTTAATCATAGTTTTTCAGCTAAATGCAATCAAATTTCATTGTGTGTCTTCAGCTCACTGCCAAAAAAAAATTGAGTGGAGTAATAGGTACACTTTGATATAGCTGCAGAACTGTAGCTCTCTGCTTGAAAAAATATGGACAGATGAAGAAGAGAAATACATATCCAAGCGTTTTATTTATGGCTAACGCCGCCGCCTTTTCATGATTTTTGTCATTAACTTCACTGTTGTTCTGTTGAAAGGTAACTAAAATATCGGGAATTGAAGTTAAATCTTAAAAGGAAAGGTTAATTTTAAGACACCATTTCAAAGCTGGGGAAAGCGTTTAATACAAGAAATAATACCAGAAGTGAGCAACAAAAAAGGGGCACCATATATCAAAGGTTTTTACAATGCTTGGATCTGTATCTCTCAATCTGCTTTATCTCTCTGAAATTAAACAAGCAGATAACTACAGTTCTGCAGTAAGTATAATAATTAAAAAACAAACTTGTTTACCAGTATGCTCTGCATTATGATTCATGCTGCACTTTCTACCTACAATATTGTTACAAAATGTATATGCAGCATGATAGGATGTACAATAGTACAATTCTCAGTTAATCTTGGACTTTCAGGAAGGCGTGGCATTCTTGGTGCTAAGTAATAAGTGTCTGTAAAATGGTGAATAGATTCTCTTTGGTTAAGAAATTGATAACATCAGGAACTTTAAAATGTTGTTGACAACGATGAAACGACTTAAGCCCCTTCTCTTTGCTGTACAAGACGCTGTATTGTTAATTTCTACACTTGTTGATATTTGCTGAATTTCTATTCCATGTATATTTCAACAGTGAATGAAAGCTGTATAAATTTCAGACGTTAATTATGTAACATCGAGAATGCCATGCCTTACTGAAAGTCCAGAATTGTACTATTTTGTTTCTAAAATGTCTTAAGCAATTATTAATTTATTTTACATGTTTTTCACTAGCTGCAGAACTGTAGCTCTCAGAAAAAATATATATTGACACTAATATTTTCCCTGAGAGGTTACATACAGCGTGACGGTAAATACAGAATATTATGTGCATTTCAGAGATTAAAAAAAAGAAAAATAAGAGGCCAACCCAAGGTATATACCAACCCCCGAGAAGATCTCCGAAAGTTTTAGAAGCAGGCCGAGTTCCGGAGGGTGAGAGCTGGGAAGGGGATGAATTTCCTAGTTCAGACAGCAAGGAGACTAGTTCAGAGAGAGAGGTGAGAAAGGCATCATACAACTAAATCAATGATAAAAATTTGTAAAATCAAAAATAAATGAAACTTAGAAATGGAAAGATATACATGGTAACACCAGTGATGTAATGTAAATCTGGGAATTTTTACGTCAATTTATTTTTGCGAATTTAGGTCAAAAGGCTGTTGATTAATTGTTACGTTTCAAAATTTAGCGCATTGTCATTGGCGCTAAAAATAAAAAGCACTTAAGGTTTTTGTATCTGTTTATGTTTCACTTTAGTTACTTAGCACAGTTATAATACCACCAATATACTCGCAACATGGTCAAAAATTGCAGAATTGCTCCGAAATAATTTTGAAGAATCAAAAGGATTTGCACTGAAAATAACTTCCGAAAAGATTAATTATAACAAACCCTTTTGAGGTTGTGTAAGCATTTTAACCTAAAATATTATCCAATGATTAATATTTCTGAACATTGTTGTAAAGAATTATCATCAGCAAATCTACATAACATAAGTCATTGTTGTAAAAAATCATCAAAAGCATAATAAGACGAAAATTCAACTAATTTTCTCAATGTTTTTTCTCACCTAAAATTTAAATGCCATGTTTACACAACGGTAACCATGTATTTAATACATGGTAATATAAAATAACTGGTCTCTCTTTCTTGGCAAAATAATTCAAAAGAGCCATCCTGCCTCAGTGCGTCCGAAAACCATTGGACGATATTGAATATAGTGAGGGTAAAATAAACACACAATGCCACTCACCTATTTTTCTGAGTACACACTTTTTTCTTCAGTAAGCAGTACTTAAAAAAGAGTGACAAAATGGCTAATTTAAAAACAGTTTCTTATTGGTAATAGTTTTTGGAGATCAGGTCTTCCAACAATTTATTGGGTACTGATTGCACCCTGTTATTAGCAGACCTTTTTTTGTATCGATATGAAGCAGAATTTGTCAAAAGAATTGAAGTGTAAAACTTTACATGAGGCAAAAACATTTGCTGTCTCCTCCATCTCAACATTTAGATAAATTGACTACATATTATTGTTGCTTTCATTCCTATGTAGACTCAATACACCCCAGTGATCTTGAAATAAAAGATACCACAAAGTCTGACACATTTGTTTCATATTTTGATATTTTACTAAAAAAATATGTTAATGGTAACCTAACAAGTTTTTTATCATCAACTTCCCTTACATATGTCATGTAGCAATGTATGGTAAACCAACTATTATTCGCATGGGAGTTCTGTGACCATGCAACTTCAACATGTGAATATTAATCGCTATGGACTAATAATTTTGCTTATTATTTGAAGAGAATGTTTCCTATGTCATGAAAATTAATCATCGCAGATTGATTTCAAACGGACGAATCGCAAATGAAAGATGATGTGAATGATAGTTGATTGACAGTATACACTTATCATCTGTATATGGGGTTTATGTCTCTCAGTTGATCTGATACACAAATGCATGTTCTACATATGAACAATTTCTTAAATGAGGCAAACAGACTTTGCTGTATAGGAGCCAATTTCTTAAAGCATTTTACCTACATTGAGAATGTACATGTAAAGTATCAAATAGAGTGATATCCTGAAACGATCTGATGAAAAATTTAAATTTGCACACATTTTCTTGCTGATTCTGACTACATGTAAATGTATTCATTTAACTCTATATTTCAAACTATGAATTCTGTCAGAAGCAGTAATTTTTTCATTTACATTTTTTGTAGATTGATGATGTAAGTTCAAACATAAGAAACCTAAATCTTGGCAAAGAGAAAAATGAACAAAAGAAACAGAGATCCAAAAAGCCAGAAATTCAGAGATATGTTCCAAAAGGGAAGATACTGGAACAGCAAACAAAAGAGGATGACACATCAGAAACCGAACCAGCCCAAAATGTTTCTCCACGAAAAATTGATCTAAAGAAAGACCAGCAAGAGTTAAAAGTAACAGTTGTAAATGAAGGGGTGCCCCCAAGTGGTCAGTTGAATGCGGGTGGAAAGACTGAGGCCAAGGAACCCCCAAGCCCTCATAATCCACTGGACAGGTCAATATCAAAGGGGGAGTCTCCAAGATATCAGTCCAAATCTGATTCTCTAAATCAGTTCAGGGGCAGTCAGCAGCCAAATAAACCAAAACATCAAAAAGATTTTGAAAATAAACCAAGGAGTGGACGAAATGTAGAGGAGAGAAGATTTGGGGGGAGTGAAAGTGAATATAGGAGAGGGAAACAGCAGGGAAGTAAGGTACCTGATAGACGGAACCGTGAGGAGGAATTCAAGAGGGGGGAGGGGAGGAAAGGGGAGCATGGCAGACCAAGAGATGGAAGAAGATCTGGCTGGCAAGAAGAGGAGCCTAAACCACAAAGACAGCCCAAGGAAAGGAGAGACAGAGGGGCAGAAACCAGCAAAGGGAACCAGCAAAGAGTGCAGAATACAGAAAGTGAAGAAGGTATACAAAGTGTCATACCAACAATGGTGTTTGAGAGGAAAAATGGGAACAGTTCTGAGGTGGATAGCTCTAAACAAGTCCAGAATGCAGCAAGTGTTAGCAGTGGAAATGGCAAGCCAGGATCTAAAAGATATTCACTGTCAGCCATGAGGCGTCCTAGGGCCGGCAGTATCAGCAGTGATGTGAGCAATACAAGTGATCTCAGCATGGACGAAGAGACCACAAATAGAATTCTGGACTGGAGTGAAGAGGTGGAGAGGGAAATGGCAGAAAATGTTCATGATGAAACAAGAAAACTGCAGGAATATCTGGATCAAAAGGGTGGATTCAATGACTGGGATGGGGCCATAGAAACAGTGGACAAAGCCAGGCAAGCTCTGGAGAGAGGTCAACAATCACAGAGAAGTATGGAGGAGGAAAGGAACTTTGGAAAGCAAGGAGGCAGGTCATATGGAAATGTCAAAAATGTTAAGAATGACAAGAATTTAAATGCTGGTCATAAGGAATTTGAAAATGGTTTCAGACAGAGAAGGAACAGTGATGGAGCTAGAAGTCGAAGAAAAGACAACCGTAGAAAGGGCTCCAGTACTGGAAGGCGGAGTCGTGATTCTAGTGTGTCTAGTGCTCACAGCGTCAGGAGCTACCACACGGAGGATGATGTGTACGGCACAGACACCTGGCCCCGGAGACGGAATCGTAGGAGAGGGAGTAACGCCAGTGTCAAGGAATCTCGCAGCAAGGAAGTTCTGAATGATCCAGCCAGTCTCAATCTGAAGGTCACATTCGCAAGAGATGACAAAAGACAAGTTATGATGAAAGACAGAGAAAGTCCTAAAGGAAGAGGAAGGGGTAGAGGAAGAGGACATAGAGAGAACAGGGATGAATCAAACGTTGGGAGACATTCAGAGGATTATCGTAGAGGATTTGAAAATGAAAAACAGGGAAGGTATAATGATAAATCTGCTGGGAGTGAACGTCAGCGAAAATTCTCAGGGGACCAGAGAGATTGGCATGGACAGTATGAGACAAAGGGAGGGAGAGAATATGGCCGACGTTATGAACATAGAAACTTTGGAGGTCATCAAGTAGATCATGAGGAAAAGAAAAGCCCCGAAAGCCCTGCCCACGGTGGAGGAATAATAAAACTCCCAGCCAATACCGATACATCAGAAAACCACTCTCAGGGCCATATCAATTGGCATCATGGAGAATTTCATACCATGGGCCACAGAGGAGAAAGAAACAGGAATAGCCATAGGGATACGCATGCCCATGGCAGCCCAGGTCAAAGAATGTTGTTTGATCCCAAGAATCCTGAGAAGATGATAATGGTGCCCACCCCCACATCTTCTACATCTGGATCCCAGCTCAAGTTCAAGGACCCCTCTGGTCAGGAATCCCCCCAGTCTCCCCCTACACAGCAGCACCCCCTGATGCCCCCACCTGGAGGTTTCCCACCGATGCCACCCCAGTACAGAGGCTACCCCCCGTTTTATGCAGGCTATGATCCTCGCTATCAGGATCCTATGTATGGGGGACCGGCTATGCCTGGTCCTTCCATGCCAGGATACTACTATGGATACCCGGCTATGTACAGAGATAATCCCATGTTAAGAGAAGATGGTACAGAGTTTTCAGGGTAAGCTGCATATAAAACTAATAAACTATTATAGAAAATGTAAATTTTTGTCATAGCTATTTATAAGTATAAGTAATTCATTTAAAAAATTTTAATAAAGATCACCCCTCAAGTAAAGACAGGTTTCTGTCTTTAAGACAGGAAAATTTTTTTGAAACTGAATGCTGGTTATATTTCAGGGATGGTGAATTAGACCCTATGTATGCAGGTCGATCCAGGGCTCAGTGTAGGATGATGGCGGAGCATCTGTTCCAGGAGGCGTGTCACATGGACTCCCAGATGACAAACCTTGTGTCTAGGAGACAGTCTACTGAGTCAATGCAGCATGTTTACAGATTAAGGTAAGGTCAAAGGTCAGACAAACCTTGTGTCTAGAAGACAATCTACCGCGTCAATGCAGCATGTTTACAGATTAAGGTAAGACAAACTTTATATATTGAAGACAATCTGCTGAGTTATTGCAGCATGTTTATAGATTAAGATAAGGTCAGAGGTCAGACAATTCTTGTGTCTAGAAGACAATCTACTGAGTGCAACATATTTATAGCTCAAGATAAGGTCAGTTAGGTCACAGGTCAGACAAATCTTTGTCAATAAAGCAATCTACTTAAACAGTGCAATGTTTACAGATTCAAGTAAACTTTCACACCATTACTGGTATAATTTTGTGACATTCTGTTTACAGACAGGAACTGCAGCAGAAGTTGGAGCAGATTATCCTGCTGGATGTGGAGGTGGCCAGTAAACACAATGTGGAACAGCTGTTGTGGAAGTCCGTGTATTACCAGGTCATAGAGATGTTCCGCAGGCAGCTAGCCGAGGACAAGGAAGACAAAAACATCAAAACCGAACTCTCCAAAATCCTGGATGAGGTATTGTCAGTCATCTTAGGATGTGCCAAAAATTATATTTGAAGGAAGTTACAATTTTAAGGTTTTGTGGGTAGTTTGCAGTCTTATAGTGTATATCCTTTGAAGGTTAGGTATGCAAAAAAAAAATATAAATAACAAAACCTTTATTTCATTATTTAGGGGACAACCTTCTTTGACAAACTCCTCCAGAAACTGCAGCAGAAGTACGGGTTTGACGTTGAGGATTACCTGGACTCGAGTCTAACTGTTCAAGAGAATCAGAGTAGAAATGTTAAGCTGGCCGTCCTCAGTATACAGAGACTGATGATCAACCTCGGAGACATCGCTCGCTACAGGGAACAAATGAATCACACCGGCAAGGTCAACTACGGGCGCGCCAGAAGGTCAGATTTCTTACCACCACACAATGGAAATAGTTTATAAGAGATAAGGAAATTCTGTATGTAACCTTTTCATTGAAAGGTCAAAATTAAGAATTTAAATATATTGATGAAAAATGAAGATGTACCTATTTGATGTTGTAATTGTGATTTTTATTGAAGTAAGAATTTACTTTAAATGGTGTAACTTTAGTTGGTATACCAAAGCGCAACAACTGGCTCCAAAGAATGGTCGACCCTACAACCAGTTAGCAATTCTGGGATTGTACACAGTAAGAAATTAGTTTATCAAAGGAAACTGTTTAACTATTTTAAGTTTTTTGGCTGCGATACAGATCTCAACCCTCCTTGTAATTTTCTTTTTAAAAAGTCAAATTGATTATTTCACTTGTAAAAAAAATGATCATTTGATATAATAACAGAGGAGGAAGTTAGATGCGGTTTATTACTACATGAGAAGTCTGGCAGCCAGTAACCCCTTCCTTACTGCAAGGGAAGGACTCCTCAATCTGTTTGACGAGGCAAGGAAAAAGGTATTAAATAAAATGAGATTTTTTGTGTTTTTTTTTAGACTGAAAAGAGCATGTAAAATATTTCTTGACTACCTTTGAATATTGTTTGTTGTAAAATGAATAAATAGAGAATCCTTGGCATTAAGACTAGATAAAAATGAAATGGGCTAATAAATTCATATGAATGAAAGACGTTTTCTAAGGTAACTACAGTGTATATTGTCCCTATTTGATCAGGCCCTGGCTGTTGAGCAGAAGAAGGAGGAAGAGAGAGAGAAGCTGAAGAAGCTGGCCCCCCAGAAGCCTCACCACGGACAGAGGATCGAGATCTGGGTGTCGCCGGACGGGACGAGCTCCGAGGGGAAGACGGAGGTCGGAGGGGAGGAGGACCTGGACAAGCTGGAGGCTGTGGAGGTGAGAGATTATTGCACAACAATGACACATTTGAACATACTAGTACATATATTTATTATATTTGCATATAAATTATTGTATTGTATATTGTGCAGTTATTTAATTCTGAGGGCTAATTTTTGAATGCAAAAGATTTGAAGAGTGATATATGATTTCACACATTTTTGCTAAAACAAAAGTTTCATTAAAAGAAATTTGTTTGGAAGTCGGTTGAGGTTAAATTTGTTAGTGAGGGTTACTGCAGAAATTAAACTTGTATGAAATACATGTACACTGATTCCTGAATAATCTAGGTATGCTGTAAACATACAAATGGTTTTATAAAGAAGTGAACATAGCCATCAAGTTACTGGAAAACAAGAATTGTTTTGAAACAAAGTTTTAAACTTTCTTATATTATTATCATATTGTCTTTGGCTTTTGCAGCTGAACAAGAGATTTAACCTGAGCTTCCTTAATGTTCATGGAAAGCTGTTTACAAAAGTTGGGTATGTACTTGTGAAAATAATTTCATTGTAGTTGTGCAAATAATTACAATTTTAAAAATAAAACCAAATTTACAGATACAGTAAAACAAGTATGAGGCTATTTTAAAAGACTGCTAGGTGGTTAATTTAAATGTAATCATGATCAGGTAGTGTATAGTGTGTAACAATCTTCTAAATAAATGAAAGGCTTTATTTTGAAATTTATTTTCAAATGTTTACACATGTTATTTCCAAATTACACATTCTTTTACATTTAGAATTGTTAATTGATATTTGATATTACTATTAATGTGTAATTGCAGTTGCTTCTTAAATAAGTACTTCATGTTTGGAAATAATTTAAATTTATTGTGATATCATTAATCAAAGTCATAATGTAAGATGTAGTAGTTCACTATATCAGAAAAAATATCTTTTATCATACTAGCACATTTTTCGTTTTTATGAGTTTTTATTTACTTGATTCATGTATGAAGTATGTAAGTTCAAAGATCTAGAGAGCTCTAAAACTGAGATGTGCTCTTTTCAGACGCGAGTCATTTCCAGAGTGTTGTGGGCAGATGTTAAAGGAATTCCAGGCCTTATTGAGATACGGAGCCTTGCCACCAAGCCGACTCATTCAACTCATGGCCATCAACATGTTCGCAATAGAAAATACAGCTTTGAAAGGTTAAACACATGTTCAAGTGTTATTTGCTCAATATCTTGAGAACCTCATGCTTGACAGACAATAGAATTGGTACACTTCCCCACCCCCTCCCCTCTCAAAGGAAGACATGACCCTTGTAGATTAGATCAAAAGATCAAAGTCAAAACCTAGACATACAATGTAGGAAGATATTAGGGTCAGGGGGATAAATGTTCCAAACTTTTCTTGTTTTACAGCAAAAGCTGAGAGTGAAAACTTGTTGAAATAATTAATTCTCTTTATGTATTTGTTTAATACAGATTTATCGATGGCGGAGGACTTCCGCTCAGAGCTCCAGGAGCACGCGGTACAGCTGGGTCTGGACATGTTTGGTATCTTGCTGGACTGCTGTGCCCAGGAGCTGACCAAACATCTGGCCTCCTCGGACTACCCCAGTCACATGTTCAGTAGCGAGCTGGAGGAACTGATCCCAGGGGTCAAGAAGTGGACAGACTGGATGTTAGCCAACCTCAAACTGTGGAACCCACCCCCCTCTCTCAGAGACACCACACTGGGGTAGGTCAAAGGTCAGAGGTCAGCACAGACTGAAACAGTGAAGTTCTTGTATGGGGAATACTTCAGAATCAAACAAAAGAATGTATAAAAGGGCTATCTTAAAATTTATGAATTAGTTTAATCTTTAATCAGAGTGCTGCTTTAATGAATAGGTTATGGATAATTTCATAAAAATCTTATTTTTTTGCTTGAAAATTGCTTTTGTTGTAATATTTTGAACTGTCTGACCAATTATTTTCCTTTCTTATCATCATTAAATGCTAGACTGACTCTAAATGAAAAGTTTATATTTATAGTGAAAAGTTAAGCAGCTTGTAAAGTTTCTTATTCAGTTGAAATAAATATCAATTAATTTGTAATCATTGAAGTGGACAAAATACTTGTACTTACGTTTTAATTTTTCATGTACAGACCTGGTGTGGACGTTTGGAAAGTAACTGCCAAGTTTGCCAACATTTTAAAAGATGTAGACATCAGTCATGTCAAGTTATATGAAGATAAAATTGAAGGTAGGAAACAAAGTCAGAACAGCTATGTGGATACACTATCTAAAATCATGTACTCCAATAAAATTTTAGAAATGATAAAGAGAAGCTGTCAAGATGAAGGTTTAAATGCAGGATAGTTAACTGTAATAATCAGGAAGCACAAGTTGGTATTCAGTTTTTAGATGTTTACCTAATATCTCGAAAGCCATTTATTGGTATTTACTTTCAGGATGTGAATCTGTTGTTTTATTTGAGGACACCATGTTGTCTGGGTTTGTTCCCCTCATGAGTGCCCCAATCAAAGTGGCCTATGTTCACAGTACTGTAGACAAGGTAAGTGATAGGTCAGAACATTGAAACATGGAATGCATGATCTGAGAAAAAAAAGTTTTAAAAATTTTATTATATCTATTTTCAATTTTTTAAATTGAATCATTCAATATTAAGTGTAAATTTAATTTTGAATCCAATGTTTTGGATCATGAAGACTGTTTTCAGCCTTTTGATCTCTCTGCAGGACATCGCTCGGGACTGTCTGAGGATACAGGTGTTACAGGAGTTTGCTGATTACCTGTGTGGAGTGGAGCCCCCCATGTTAGAATATGACGTAGTGAAGAAGGAATACTACTCAGTGGCGCCCTCTACTGACTACAGCGAGGCTCCCCATGGGGACCTACCCTCAGATTCAGATGAGGTGAGACACCTGAAAATTTCAGTCATGAAGGGTTGTCTGTTTGACTGTTTACTATAATTTTCTGACACCTTCATGTGTCATTCATCTATTTTTCTCATAGCTTAAGTCAAAAGAGATATCAATTTTTGCTTGTTGATACAGGATGTATTGTATAATAACTTAACATTTAAAGCCTACTCTCATCAATATTCCATTGGATTGAGGTTCCTTAATACTTATATATATATATTATATATGAAATGCACATAGTTAGGGTGGTGTTATTGTCTTTCAGGAAGCTGATGTAATCATTGAGAGTGAGGAGGAGGTCGCTGAGGGGATGGAGGGAGATGAACATGTCCGACTGCTGAGACAGAAGAAGGAGGAACTCAGGAAAAAGAAGGAACAGCAGCTCAAAGACAAGGAAAATATACAGGTACACTAGTACATGATTTATCTTAGACCAGAGAACAGCAGCTCAAATACAAGGAAAACAATTTACCCCACCTCTGTCGATTTTTCCATGAAATCCTGGCTTACGATTGGTTGAAGTCTGTCACGTGAAGGCGGTGGATTACTTATACCCGGTCTGTTGTAAATCTATACCCGGTCGATGTATTACGTCACAAACACAAACGTTACGTCATAATAGGCACATGATAAGCGTGATGAAGCATTTAGCAGAGAAAACCATTTATAAACTACAGATAAAACTTAAATGTTTCATCGGTGGGGTAAATTCGTTACATAGTCTTTTAGTGACAGGGTATGGGATGATTCCTGGTTAGTAAATTTCATACCTGACTCAGCTCCGCCTCGCCAGGTATGAAATTTACTAACCAGGTATCATCCCATACCCTGTCACTAAAAGACTATGTAACTAATAATACAGGTAGACTAGCACATGAATTATATCAGGCTAGCAGCATAACGTAAGGTAATAAAGCTTAGTCCCTCTAGGTGTTAGTAGCTATAGAACTGGAATGTATTTTTTGAAGTATAGCACAAATCTCTTTTCTAAACAACATATGTGGTGAGTAACAGTTGGTTTCTTTCACTGTTTTATGAATTTCAATGCATAACGAATTATTTTATTTTACAGAAACTGATAGAGAAGGACAGACACCGGTGTATAGAGTTGGAGATCCACCCCATTTTCTTGATTCCGGACACCAACTGTTTTATTGAACACTTTTCAAGCCTAAAACAGCTCATTCAGCTGAAGAAGTTTACTGTGGTAGTGCCTTTAATAGGTAAACATAACATTATCACAGATACTTGACAGTAATGGATGTAGAACTGATATCATGTTTAACTGTTTCTAGTGTATGATGTATTCAAAATATACTTGTTGTAGTTATTAATGAGTTGGACGGATTAGCCAAAGGTAGCAAGGAGGGACAATACGACTCAGCGGATCAGGCCGTGAAGGTCGCCGAGAGGTCAAAACAAATGGTGGAATTCCTAGAGGAGGAGTTTGACAAAAAGAACTCACACCTGAAAGCCCTGACCTCTAAAGGGAACGTACTGGAGACCATCTCATTCCGAAGTGAGGAGGGGGATAGTAGCGGGGTAAGCTCTAACGAGGGTCTATTTATATACATCAGTGTGGTATGCACTACTGACAGTCTATTTATGTAATCAGTGGGGTAAGCACTACCAAGGGTCTATTAATGTACATCAGCAGGGTATGCACCAAGGACTGTCTATTTATGTACCTCACCTGTTGGTCATAATCTTACATGTCAATTTGTGAGGTTTATTCCGAAATTTTATCTTTCTTGCGACAGTTTATTATTTGTTTATTGTTGTTTACCTCTCTTATTTGATTTTTTTTTGTATTCAATTAATTTGTACTTATCAATACAATAGTACATGTGCACTATATTTATTATGATTGGGGCTTTTACAATGGTGACATCAGAATATGGGTATTGTATTGTAGGGAAATAATGATGACATCATCCTGTCCTGCTGTTTACACTACTGTAAAGACAAAGCCAGAGAGTTCATGCCAAAGGAGAAAGGTAATCTCATCGGACCTTATATCAGCAAGGTTTCTGGAAGGAATTGAACACTTAAGGGGGCTCTCTACACCTATAAAGTATAACTGATTTTTGTTGCATGCATTTGTTTCTAATAATAGGCCCCATATCCAATAAAATAAGGTTCCAAAGTACTTCAATTTATTTTTTAGAAATATTTGAAATATTTTATTTATTTTGTTAAAATCCCTCCTATCTATATTTTTAAAGGCCCAGTGCTTTAAATTTCTCTTCAAAGTTTAGTGTTATAAAATATTGAAATAATAACTAACAAAGATAAAAATAAAATCAACATAATTTTTATTAGCTCACCTGAGCCGAAGGCTCAAGTGAGCTTTTCTGATCAAAATTTGTCCGTTGTCTGTCGTCGTTGTCGTCGTCGTCGTTGTCGTTGTTGTCGTCGTAAACTTTTCACATTTTCATCTTCTTCTCAAGAACCACTGGGCCAATTTCAACCAAACTTGGCACAAAGTATCCTTGGGTGAAGGGGATTCAAGTTTGTTCAAATGACGGGCCACGCCCTTTTCCAAGGGGAGATAATCATGAATTTGTTAAAAATTAATGGCATTTTTATAAAATCTTCTTCTCCAGAACCACTGGACCAGGAAAGATGAAACTCATGTGGAATCATCCTCAGGTAGTGTAGATTCAAGTTTGTACAAATCATGACCCCCGGGGCAAGGGTGGGGCCAAAATGGCCGACCCAAGTTTTACATAGGAATATATAGGAAAAATCTTTAAAAATCTTCTTCTCCAGAACCACTGGGCCAGGAAAGATGAAACTCATGTGGAATCATCCTCAGGTAGTGTAGATTCAATTTTGTTCAAATCATGACCCCCGGGGCAAGGGTGGGGCCAAAATGGCCGACCCAAGTTTTACATAGGAATATATAGGAAAAATCTTTAAAAATCTTCTTCTCCAGAACCACTGGGCCAGGAAAGATGAAACTCATGTGGAATCATCCTCAGGTAGTGTAGATTCAAGTTTGTTCAAATCATGACCCCCGGGGCAAGGGGTGGGGCTAAAATGGCAGACCCTAGTTTTACATAGGAATATATAGGAACAATCTTTAAAAATCTTCTTCTCCAGAACCACTGGGCCAGGAAAGATGAAACTCATGTGGAATCATCCTCAGGTAGTGTAGATTCAAGTTTGTTCAAATCATGACCCCCGGGGCAAGGATGGGGCCAAAATGGCCGACCCTAGTTTTACATAGGAATATATAAGAAAAATCTTTAAAAATCTTCTTCTCCAGAACCACTAGGACAGGAAAGGTGAAACTCATGTGGAATCATCCTCAGGTAGTGTAGATTCAAGTTTGTTCAAATCATGACCCCTGGGGCAAGGGTGGGGCCAAAATGGCCGACCCAAGTTTTTCATAGGAATATATAGGAAAAATCTTTAAAAATCTTCTTCTCCAGAACCACTGGGCCAGGGAAGATGAAACTCATATGGAATCATCCTCAGGTAGTGTAGATTCAAGTTTGTTCAAATCATGACCCCCGGGGCAAGGGTGGGGCCAAAATGGCCGACCCAAGTTTTACATAGGAATATATAGGAAATATCTTTAAAAATCTTCTTCTCAATTACCACTGGGCCAGGAAAGATGAAACTCATGTGGAATCATCTTCAGGTAGTGTAGATTCAAGTTTGTTCAAATCATGACCCTCGGCCCTGGGGAAAGGGTGGGGCCAAAATGGCCGACCCAAGTATTACATAGGGATATATAGGGAAACATTTTAAAATCTTCTTTTCAAGTACTTCAAAGCTATGATTAGTGATACTAATATGGAATCATCCTCAGGTAGTGTAGATTCTAGTTTGTTCAAATGATGAACGCCTGGAAGGGGGAATTCAAGCCCGATGTGCTCAGGTGAGCGCTGTGGCCCCTGGGCCTCTTGTTTAAATTTACAAAAATAGACAAAAGAAAAACTAAAACAGCATTTTCTTGAGAATAGCTGGTTGGATCCTCTTCAATATCTGAAAAGATATATAATATCAAAGGGTAAAAACAATGAAAAAAAGAAAATGAAAAAAATTGAAAAACTGTCAAAAATTTATAAACATCACAAAAATTCAGGTGTGAGAGATCCGCTTTAAGAGTGGACTCAAATATCTTGGTACTGTTGTTTTTAATATAAACTTCAAATAAACTCTACTTGCACAAGTATTAAACAAATGTCACGCAAGGACATTGAAAGAAGTTCGTATTGAACATGTATTTGTTTTCCAATGAGTTTAAGCAAAAATCATCGCGTTTCCAGTCAATGACAAAGACATGCATTTAGTGAATTCATGGCATTGAGAAAGGTAGATTTACTTACTGTTTTTATCCAACTTGCATGTGTTATCCAGTGCTGTATATAACAAAACAAGTTAAGATGGTAAAAGGCCAAAAGCGGTAAAAGAAATTCCTATAACCAAATGCACATTTCGTCTAAAACCTGCACATTTCCCATACTTGTAAACAGCTGACAATCAATGGTGATCAAACGTTTGGGTCATGCGAAATTTCACCGGGTATAACCATTCATTCGGGTGTATACAAATCGAGAACAGAGTATCCTCTAGTCGATGGGAAGATAATACATATGTCTTATCTTATCAAATTTGCATTTTGGGGGGATATATTTTGCTGAAAAGCATATATGCTTATTGGAGAAATAAATTTCTGAGTGTATGGTGTTTTGACACGTAATGATGAATTAGCATATGGACAAGCCATGTTTTATATCATTTGTTCTCATCTAAAAATCTTAATTTAATAAGTTTGTAAATGTATTATTTAACAATTAAATAAGTAGAAATTGAATAAATTGACAAACAGTTCATTTTTAAAGAAAGTATACGTATTGGGCAATGCACTGTATTAATTGATGTGATATAATGCACATTCCATCCACAGTATCGCATGATGTGTTATACTCAGTGATTTATCGGTGTTAAGTGAATTTGAATCTGATCATTTGGGATCAAAATGGCGTTTTTACGGAAGTACGCCATGTTGTGACGTAGAGAGCCCCCTTAACATTTTTCTAGCTTTAAACATATGTTTTAGTGTTTGATGTAAGTCATTCAATTTATATTTTAAGCACATGCACACAATGTATTATGTTTTTTGACACATTGCTTTGCAAAATTTTATGATGTTTCAGATGTTTGCCCTAAGTTTCTGTATTAACCCTTTGTGTGCTGACTTGTTTTGCGTGCGCTGTAACCTCAGGACTGAGTTGTTTTGTAATATCAACAAAATTATCACAATGGTGTACTAAAATGCAAATATCTAAAATTGTTGACAACCAATTTGCTTGAAATTTGGCAAATATGTAGCAAATGTTGCGTTTTTTAATCTATACTATTTTTAAAAAAAAATCTAATATCTTATGTTGCCGTGGAAACCAAATTTTAAAAAAAAATATTTTAAAATGACTTTTTAGCATTTTAACTATATTTTTCAGGGGAAATATTGCACTTTGATGAAAAAAAAATAAATCAATTGCTTTAAAAATTCAATTTTAGTTTAATATTATGTAAAAAAAAAAATTAATTTAAACAATAACTCAATGATAAAGTCAATGTTATATATACCGTTATGTTGTAAAAAGTCATTGTATACTTATCTGAGTAAGGGATATATTCATGTAGGTTTAAGTGAATTCTGGATTTAAGTTAATGGATTTTTTCAGATTTTAACTAGAAAGAGTATAAATTAAAGATTCAATAAGCCTGTAAATATAAAACCAGTGATTATTTTAAGAAATATTGGCAATCATATAAGAAAGTATGATCCTCAAAGAATATGCAGTTTTCGAGGTTGGGAAATCTTGGAGCAAATTGGCACAACAATGAACTAATTGCTGTTACTAGTATTCATTTTCAAATTAAAGCAGTCAATATGTTAAATAAATTTAAAAAAAAAATAAAATAACATTAACACTAAGTTATAGAGGTCTTATTTTCTAATGACTGGTATCTAACAGCCCTAAATATATACTCTAGTAATTCTCAGATCTTTTTTTTTTATTTTGCTTTTATTGAAGAAAATGTATTTCTCCGTGTTATTTGTAAAGTTAACATATTCATCAACTTTCCTCCCACAGTACTTCTCACTCTGTAAGAAATGTGGCATTTATTTTAGAAGTTTTATTCCTAGCTGGCAACAATAATTGCCAGCAGGAAAACTAGTATTTCAAATTTTAGAAATTTATAAGCACCTTTAACAGTCAATTATAACGTTTTCAAAAATTACATCGTTCAATGTGGTCACTGGTGAATAACAGTTTTTATTTTTTTCAATTGATTTTAGTTAATGATGGTTGACAGATATGTACCGTAATATCAATCAATATATTATGAAACACTTTTAAGTTTATGCAAGTCTAATGGTATGGGTCATGGATATAGGCCAAGTAAGCTCAGTCAGTAGAGCATCTGACCAGTGATGCAGGGGCCCCTTCTTAGATTCATGGTCCAGCCCTGCATTTTCTCCTTCCTTGTTACAGATTTGATGCTATTGACCCCTCTGGATTTGCAAGTGAAAGTCCTGTCAGGGGCTAATAAGAATTTAGGCTGTGTCTGCAAGGATAAAGATAACTTTAAGGAGGGATATGTAATGGTTGTGCTATGGGTATCAACCTGGGTAGCTCATTCGGTAGAGCACCTGACTAGTGAAGCAGGGTTCCTGAGTTCAATTCCTGGTCCAACCATAGTTACCATACATTTTCTCCTTTCCTATTACACAAGTTTTGAATGTGCCTGAATTTTTACTTCTAAATTAAATATTATTCCTAATACTAGTAAAGAAATTTATATTTCATTTCCATGATGGGATTTCTTTGTATTCTTAGTAACTATTCACATTTTCATATTTAAAAATAAACATATCTTTGGAGACCAAAATGTAATCTTTGTTGATAAGTAATTGTACAGGAATTTGCATTTTTGAAAAAAAAATTTGACCATCATTAAAAAAAAATTCTCACAGTAAATCTTAGCTTTTTTACTTTATTCATTCAGGCATATATGATTATCTCTTATATCAAATGTACCTATCTTACTGTTACATATCTAGAAGGGATGGAATGTAGAAGCTTCTTGGGCCTTATAAATTTGTAAACTAGAGGATATATTACATATTAACAGGTAAAAACATGTACAATGTGTACAGTTATAACGAAGTCACTGGGACCTATGAAATTACTTCACTATATCTGTAATTCGTTATGTATGTCGCTATATCCGTAAATTCGCAATATTTGTGTTCATACTAAATGAGTTTTGCTGTATTACCCAGTCTTTATTGTAATTTATTGAACAGATGTACATGCAAGTGTACAATTTACAAATTACTCATTCTAAAGACTCTGATCTTATGCCTACAAAAATGACAATTCATCTTAATTTTTGTAGAGTTACCATATATTTAACCAGTGTTATGTGTGCATGTATAGGTTGGGGCAGTCTCGCAATGTGCAATTTCATATGCTTTATTCTGGCAAAAGTCTATTTTAAAGAAAAAGAAAATGTCTCCCTGATACATGTTCTTAAACTTGGTTTAAAAAAAAATATACTGATACATGTAGTACCAATTATTTTCACTTACTAATTAGGTCCCATGCAAACTAGAGTATGTAAATGCCTTGAAGAAATCTAACTCTAAGATACCAAAGATCCCGGAACATATATTGGTTTTGAAATTAATAGAGTCTATATAATACTCGTCAAGGAAATAACAATGGTATTTTATTACTTACTGAAATAAAACAAAGACCACAGTTTACACAAATGACAGTCATTTCAGGGAAAATTAGAACTTCAAAATTTTTTCATCACTTTTTACCATTTTCAGGCCTATATGCACATGATCAAATGCATCAATGCATCTTTTTTGATAACTAGCTTACATTTGAAGACACTTTATAGAAAATATCAAGTTTATTTTTAATTTTTAATTGTGCTAAAAAAATTTACAATATATCTGACATACACTGTTATAAAAAAACATTTGAAAGTTTTCCCAAATAGTGGAACATCAAGCAGCTTTAAACCAGAATTTTTAGGTGTAATTAGGGCCACTTAATTGACTCAATTATTGTCAATTATAATCTTCATATTGTGTAAATTTCGAATACGAGTATCATGAATTAATTTTGCTTGATCACAAAAATATGTTAATGGATATATATTCTCTATATATCTCTTTTGCACTTACTTATTAATGCAATAACTCATTGGAAAATTTTCTACAATGTTCAAGGTCCTCCACATTTATTACTTTTATAAGGTGGAACCTTTTTTATCTTTCAACATTTTTGAAATGGTCTTTTGATTTTTAAAAAAATTGTTTACTTATTTATTTATTTATCATAAAAAAACAAATGCTTTTAATTAACAAGATGCTTCAAATTATTTTTTGCAAACCTTTATTTCAAAGCAAAACTTGATTTACGTATGTAAACAACATGCACAGTGAGGAAAAGAAAAACGTCTGTGACTTGCCGGTTCAATCTCGCGCATTAATTTATTGTTTTCATTTAGACGATGTAATGTATGTCTACTTACAAAACACCATATAAACAAATAATTACCACCGTATGTCCAAAATATAAAACTTTGCCGACCATATAAGCTCTCGATATGCTTCAGACTCAAGTTGTGCAAACTTTCGTTTTAACAGCAAGAACTTCGCAAGGTTAAGGTCAAGTCAAGTTAACCAGAGTTTTTCTGCTAAAATTTCGACAATTTCTAAGTAATTTTATGTCTACTAACACAAATTTATTAGAATTATTGATATTTAACTATTTTTTGGATTTATTTCTTTATTTTCCTTTATATTAGGGCAAGTTAGTAGATATTTATTACATGCGCGTTTTTTCCCTGTTTCCAAAAATAGCGGACTGACTTTCATCGTAACAAACGCCAAACACCTTCACTTTAAATCACAATTTCACAAATAATTCGCATATTTTCACATCTTAATTACCTATTTTTCAATGTTTTGTAGTTTTATAATACATATTGATAGATTCTTAATAACTCACAACTCATTTATACGTTTTATACTACGTTTTATGTGACGAAGCGCAAATTCCAGACTCAGACCCAATATATTGGGTTCCCGCACGGTAGCGTTTGTGGTCAGACCCAATATATTGGGTTCCCGCACACAAAGGGTTAATAGAAAATAGATCATTTCTCATGGCAGAGATGAGCATGAATATCTCGAGTCTGATTGTATCAAAATTAAAGTGGAGACTACAGTGTATCCATGATTTATAAAATAGTCATTGGAAAAGATGTTCATAAAATATTTTACTTGTATTTTGCTTTTTTTTGTTTAATATCTTTTGATACGAATAGTTGCATAGATATTTGACTAGCAAAGAATGCTTTAAAATAGTTTGGAGTAGCAATGTGCATTAAAATTGCCAGAATGATGATAATTGACTTTCATTTTCAGATGCCCCCGTGAGGTTGTACAGAGAAGTGGTGTTGTTGACGGACGACAGAAATCTACGACTGAAGGCTCACACCTGTAACGTACCTGTCAAAGATGTCCTGTCGTTCCTCAAGTGGAGTAAGATCACCTGAACTGACCCGTGAGATGATGGCATCAGTTCTCCTAGGACCCGGGCCTCTGGAATGCCAGCCTAGTGTGTCAGCTAATGGCGCTTGGCTCATGTCCTTTATCTAGTGTGAACAATTTGTCTGTTTGGCTTGTGTTAATTATCACAATGGCCCGTACAAGATAACCAAATAATTTCAAGGATACTACTTGTAATACTGAATGGAAATTTCTACTTTTAGCTTAACCCACACAGATTTCAGGAGTACGTCAGAAGAGTGGTGTTTTCTACTGTTGTGTAGATAAATTATCTTTAGCTCTAGTGAGTAATGGAGGAGATTTTTCCTTCGTGTATTTATAAACTGTGACTTTTTGAACTGATGGGACAGTGAGTGTTTGGACTGCATTGACAGTGAGTTTTATATTAACCTTTTTAACCCTGATAATTGTGAAATTTGTGATATTGTCAGTTACATGTTGCACTTGTTCTGCAACATTCATTGACATTTATGGAGTTTCTCAAAGTTCTTAATTCTGAGAGGAGGAAAAATTCATGATCTGGGAATCACCAAAGAAAGAAGTAAATGTTTGAAAAAACAGTTCTGGTGTGAAATATTATTATGGCAGTTACAGAATGACAACTTAGGATAATATTCTAATGAAAGAAGCAGCAGCTTTAAACCTTTTTACTGTTTTATGGAGTTATACAGCTTTAAATGGTAGAATTCTTTTCCTGAACCCCCAAGCAAACTTGTGAAGACTTTTAGTTATACATGTAGTTTCTTGTTAGAGAAGTTGTAAATGTATAATTTGAAAACATATACCTATGTTTGTACAACATGAACAAGCTTTAGAACCTGCTTGTTAGTCAAGATCAAAGACCTGAACACAGTTATGTACACATATACGTATCACGATAGGATTTTTTTTTTACTGTATATTGAAAAGCAAAGATTCCCCCTCCAAAATCATAATAATTTGGCCGGAATATAAATTGGCAGTAAGTGTATTCATTTGTTTGTAAATGTCCTTTGTAAAGAAAAAAAACAAAAACAAGTGAACTTGTAAAAAAAAAAAAAAAGAATTTAAGGTTTGAATAGATTTGGTTTGTTTGAATTAAGATTGATTTTAAATTTTAATCAATTTACTAGTATAGGCAAGAAACTAAGGTTTGAAAGAGGGGTGGGGGGTTACAATGCTTAGGGCTGGTCAATGAAATGTACTGGAGTTTTATTATATACCAGTATACTAGTATCACTGCTCTGTATTGTGAAATTAATAAAATAATTTCAGTGTTTACTGTTTGAAAAAGGTTCAGTAGAAATGACATCACTATAAATCTGTGACTACAGTGTACATTGAGTTAACATTAAGAGGTTTGTGACATGTTTAGGGTTTACTATTTTAATACTTTTAGTCTCTATTAACATGATTAATTTGTTATTGTGGGGTGTTATATTTACTTAACACTTTTATCATTATTTTATGTAGAGGTTACTGATGTTATTCATTTGCCTGTGTTGTTTTATGAACCTATAATGAGAGACTTAAGGATTGGTGGTCCCCTGCTTACACCAGGGAGTGAAATCTATGGGAATAGAAAGCATCTCCTCATAAAAGATTTAAATACTGTAAATCACTTTTAATTCGAGAGGATGTTATTTTCGTGTAATTATGCAATATGGTCTACACAGGAAAATTTTATTCTTACATATATTTTTATAATCAATGGATATATTCAGTGATTCCTGACAATTTAAACACACTTACCTGGTATATTTACCTATCTCTAACAAAAATGAGATGTCATGGAAATTAAGTGATCTACAGCATGTACAGTAGCTATCAGAATTTATTTGTTTAATAGCCTTCACTTCTCACCGTGGTTATAGCACAGCTATAAATGTTGTACAAGATGTACAAACTTGGGGATGTTTGTCAATTCTTTGCTCGTTGTCTAATTTTTGTTTTTACTCTTATCAATTTCAGGTACTCTCATGTCCATTCAATTCAAGAAATAAAAATGTTACATTTTTTAATTCATCTTCTCCAAGTTCTATTGAAAAGATATACAAAATTATATTATTTATATACAAAAATGCTCACTAGATGGGAAAATAATTTTATTTTTAAAGGACCACTGAATTTCAGAAATATTTTATTTCCCTTCTCTCTCTGTTTTGAACAGTTAAAAATGTTAAATTCAATTTCATAATAAGTTTTCAAGTCAGTATAACAGGGTAATGTTTGGATTAATTTTTTTTTCAAATTGCATGATTTATTAATATGGAGTGATGGTTAAATTTCATTGTGTATTTAACGCTTATTTGTTGACATTTTTTACATTTATACTTTATCTATTTTCTGTATATCTGTGAAATGTCAAGTGCTCCTGACCTTCGTATTGTGTCAGCAAAATTCCTGTACCATTTTACTGATGGTTCATTATGTATAATCATTATAAATAAATCAGGTATATTCATTTACTGTGTCTTGTTTCATGCAACTGTTTTTTTGAAAAGAGAATTGTGCATAGGTATTGCATGATTTTGAAGTTTAAACAAATCAACTTTAAAACAATAGAACTTCAAAATGTGTGTTAACTGGGAACATAACCAGCATTAGGTACTTTTGGTGTAGATTTTTTTTTTAACTATAACGTCAATTTTTTCTTGTGTGGAATACAGGTACTTGTGGATAGTCCCCTCTCTGCACCATCAATGGCTAAAGAATCATGACTTTTGATGTTAAAGGGTTGTATTATAATTACAGTGAAAATGCATTATTTCTGGAAACCATTCTGTTCTGCTGCTGCATATTAAGCAATTAAACTAACTGAATAGTTATGACAACCAAGGATGCTTGCTCCTTTATAAATTTCATGGCCGTTGGGTCAGTTGTTTGAGTAGTGCTATGTTTATTTTATAGTGAAAATGCATTTATTCTTTGAAGATCTTCCTCTCTGCTCCTGGGAATAAGGCAACCAAAGAAAGGCTTATTTTTTGCAGCCTCTTGTTCAGGGGTTAAAGGTCTAGGACAGGGCCTTATTGTTGATTATCGTAAAACACGCTTTAACTCTTTTCCCCCTGTTGCCACCATTTGACGCACTTGCGATTTCCCTAGAGTGTTTATCTGGCTGCCCCCTGAAGCCATTTTGAGTGACTTGAAATGACTGACCATTACATTTAGAACATGCTAATTAAGTACCTAAACATCATCAAAGTGTCACATATTATATATCAATGTTTGGGGAATGGATTGAACTTTAGTATTGTCATATAATTTTCTAAGAATAATTAATCTACAATTAACAATATATAGGTGAAACCAGGTAAAATGAATTTTTCACAACTAATCTTCATATTATCCTTTATATGAGAGAAAGTTTCTATAAAATATAACTGTAAACTTAAAATATAATACCAAACCAATAAAAAGGCTCATTATTTTATGTTAAATTAATATTAATTAAGATAGATTAATAATGATAGGTAATTATCTTCGACTTGAGCCAACTAAACTTCACAATTATGTTCAAGCAGGCATGTTTATAAATATTTTATATAATTATTTAGTTGACCACTTCTTGCAAAAGTCTTGGGGAAAATAAATTAATACATGTTTTTATCTAAATCAATGCCCTGATGAAAAAAATGCTGAAAGTAGATTATTTAGTACTCATAAAATGCATGGGAAATCTGTGGCCGCTATTGTTGTTCTTGTTAAAAAGTCTATGATGTTCTTCCTCTAATTTTCATTGTAAAATTTTATTTCTATTAAATTCAACTTTAGAACTGATGTAAAAGCATTGTGAATGCTAATACAATCCAAGGTGTGTTACATAAAATGCAATATTAAGGCCGAATTTTGCTTGTGACAAGGCCCAATTTCTTCTTGAAAACAGACTGGGTGCCATTGTTTTCACACATGTAAATCTCAAGTGAATTCACACCAAGCTGTGACTTCACTAATTATAGTAACATTACCTAATGTGTAATACACATGATTGGCTATCATTTAGAGCTGAATTTATTTAGAAACAGGGGAAATCACAGAGCTAATTGAGGGTTGTTGTGTGTATGCGTCAAATGGTGGCATCAGGGAAATGGGACATAGCGTCAAATGGTGGCATCAGGGGGTAAAGGATGTAATGCATTATTAGGGGGAAAAGAGTTAACATAAGGAAGTGCCGAGATTGGAGATCCATCATATCTGTAAGTTTACAATATATTCCGCTTTTAATACTTATACACATGTATATGATAGATATTCACTGTAAATATTGTAATAATTAAAGGTTGACATTGGAAAGAGAATTAGACAAAAAAATTATTTATATAGTAAAGAAAACGTATTTTATTCATAGTTTTTAATGGTCAGGTGGAGTTGTCAATAATAAATTAAGAGACAATATTGCCTTATCCTCGTACATTAACTGTTCTTAGAACAAGAGAGTCCAATGTGAGAAGGAATTAAATTAGATTTCTGTTGTTTTGTTTCCTCAGAATGGTGATAAAGACAAAGGGGGTTAAATCCGGACAAGAAAAGAGATCTACTTTGAGCACTGCACTACATAATTTGATGATCATCACACTACCCTTGCATTTGGTCAACATACTGTCGTTTATCAGTTAATTTGTTTTATTTTACACTTCTTTGGATCTTTTACGTTGAACTCCGACTAACTTGGGAGTTGGATTCTGTGAAAGGAAAATCCTGTGTACAGCTACCTTTGCTATGGAATAGGCAGTGAACAGATCGTCAAAACAAGCCCCTGTTTTACATCCTAATTTATGTTTTTGAATCTATCTGGTCTACCCACTACTCTCTTTTACTTTTAGTTTATTGCAGAACTAAGAGTCAAACAAGTCAGAGTAAGTATCCCTGTCTAATTTCACTAACTCAATCTTCCCATCACGCCCTGCTAAGAGGAGACGTGACGAGGTCACGTGATAGGACATCCAACCCACATCCACCAGTCCGGTCTCTCCGATCTTCCCGATCAACTTTCCCAAAGTATTCAGCTGATATATCTCGCCATTACTCAGTAGGACCAGGAACTTGTTTTCAACTTCCACAATCCATGTCACAGGATGCTTGAATTTCCTCTCCCACATCAGCTCTTTTTTCCACGAAATGCACAGAAGTTTTCTCTGGTTGAAGTCCGGAAACAGGAATTTATTACCAAGTTTGTTTTCAAGGAAGCATGAAACGACACTATGTCCTCTGATATGAACAGATATGTCCACAGCTCTGCTTCTTTGAAACCTTTTATCGTGTAGAATTACTTTGTAATTGTTAAGAATGCAGACCTTGGTTCCATTCAAACTTATTAAGCGTCCATTGGAAGCCAGTAGTTTGCTGTCTTTTTCTGTGATATACGTACCACAGTCTGTGTCAATAACTTGGAATGTTACGAGATTCCTGCCTGACAACACGTACAAACTGTCATCCGGGCGGACGGCAATGCTCGAGGGCCTTAGATCGTCACTTAGAAGACACACGCTCTGTATTTCGTTTCTTTTGCTAAACAAGATCAGACAATTATTGGCTTTGTCCATCGCAAGAATTCTTCCATCGGACATAAACGCTGCTCCACAAAGCTCACATTTTTGTTTCTCATAATTTGTTTTGCATTGAAACTCGGTCAGAAACGAGGTCCTCCACAGTACTTCGAACTCAGAACCTTCCACCTGATACACCGAAGAGTCAGTAGAAGCACTGATATCAAAAAACGCGGATACATTGTTCCCCTGTGGAGCATTGTTTGTAGACCGGCTCCTTGCCTCCGGTTTTGTCTTTGATGCGTTGGATTTCTCTTCAAACAGTTCTACCACGAGTTCGACGTACTTGTGGTCCTTTGTAGATCGGAACAAACGGTGGAAATCACGGCAGGCTGAGCATAGGAATTGTCTGCAGTCCGTACAGATGACCACAGCTGATACCGTCTGGCCTTTACCTTTACAAACCTCGCACAATTCCGGCATTTTAGAAAAAAGTTCAGGTTTCGTACAACTAAAACGAAAGCGACCTTTATGTAGATTTATAGAAAAATTGTCCACGTAAATAGTACACAAGACTGTTACATTTTCCTCAGATCTGTTGTTGTCATACAACAGTACATTTCTCCATAAATGCAAGCCCGAAATGTTTGTGAAGTTTGATATTCTCCTTTGTCAACAGGTATCTGGGCCAAAATGTCACGTTCGATAGTAACGAACAATTCAGGGTAAACGCAACTGATAATAATAATACCAGTGAAGTTTAAACTCATATCTGTGTTCAGTCACTATTTCTGTTGGTATTGCTTGCCAGAATTGACAAAGATATGTTTGTAATGTTTACAGAAAAATTGCGATTTCGTGTGATTGTTATAAACTCTTCTAAAGTTTTTTTTTTTGGAAACAATGAGACTTTCACAAAAATTATTATTCTTTTTGTTTATTTATTCTAAATTACCAATGATACTCAACAGTTGAGGAGATATTTGATTGTATTATAGACTCCTCCCCCTTTCGACCGAAACTTGTATATTACTAAACTGTTCACATAATATTGTCATGACATATTAACTCTATCTTCTTTTTGATATCAGAAGTCAGAATAATTTTGTTGTCTTGCTCTACCTTGTATGACAAATAAAAAGTCATGGAAGAAAGTAAAGAAAGTTCCTTTTTAAAGATAAAATAAAATGACCATGCACTTTTAAATTTGATAAATTGCTATTGAAAACGATGCCGTTTATTTAATCCCTCTTCTCTTATGTTTTCTACTAGGAAATCTGCATAACATCAACTATAGAAATCTACCGAAGAACCCTTAATTTGTTTTATTGTCCCAAGCACTGTCCTTAGCGCATGAAATTGCTGTATATATTAGCTGCAGAAATCAATTATCATGTATGAGATTCTTAACATACAGGCGTTATCGTTGTCAAACAATACAATGTCAGATTCTTATTGGCTTAGAATCATAAAACTTTGTCAGTTGATGCACCTTGGGTTTTCGGAGAATTCCGACCAAAAAGTAGGTCACAGTGACCTACCTTTGAAATAATATGGCTATATTTTAATATATATCAGGTACTTGTTGGCTTAAAATCATCAAACTTTGTCAGTTGTTGCATCTTGGGTTTTCGGAGAACATCGACCTAAAGTAGGTCACGCTCAGGTACTTAATGGCTTAGAATGATGAAACTTTGTCATTTGATGCACCTTGGGTTTTCAGAGAATTTTAACCAAAAGGTAGGTCACAGTGACCTACTTTTGCAATATTATGGCTATATTTTAATATATATCAGGTATTGATTTGCTTAGAATCATCAAACTAATTGTCAATTGATGCATCTTGGGTCCTTGGATAATATCAACCGAAAGGAAGGTCATGTTGTCCTACTTTTGAAAATTTCTTTATCTTTCATATAATAAGGGGCTTAAAATCATCACACTTCGACAGTTGATTATCCTGGGCTCTCAGTGATTTAACCAAAATTTAGGTCATGATGACCTACTTTTGCAATTTCAAGCCTTTATTCATATACAGGCTTCCAATAGAAGTGATAGATTGTACAATTTATCGGAAGAGCGATTCAAGACCCTTGGGCCTCTTGTCTCACTAAATTCACTATTAAAGCATAATATACATGTATGCACACTGAAATAGGCTTTTCCTCTATTTTATAATATTCTTCAGAGTTGCTGACATCAGACACGTCAAAGTGTTGATTTTAGTTAGGATATAATTTCCAAGTAATGTCCTATACCTGTAATAGTAATTATTATTTTCTAACTGAAAATTCATCAAATGTCTGTTATACAGAAGAAACTCTCTACTTGATAATTAGCGAACTCGAAGAGATATTGCCTACGACAACACCTTATTTCTAATTTGAAAACATGAATTCAATACATGTATTTTTAAAAACTATTTATTGTTTGTTTTTATTCTCTGTGGTCGAATTTTCACACACCATATTGAAGAGAAACTAGTTTTTGTTAGAGTTCTTTATTTGGAGCAGACGCTACAGTACAGTTGTTGTCCATCTTTATATGGCGGGCACGGTAAACTCCCACATTTGGCGCTGACGATGTAAAACAGTTTGCCGTCTTCATCAGCGCTACTATGATCCAACACCTCTGGGTGCCGGTGTAACGTTGAATTTTGACCCGGGTTGAAAATTGACCCGGGGGTCATTTTTCAACGTTGAATACTGAGACCAAAGGTGTTAAATTTAGACCCTAATCTGTTGAAAACTGAGCCGGGTCGTGGAATTTTGATCATGAAACCGGTTCAAAATTCAACAGCATAAAAACACATTTTTATGATTGGGTTTTCACTACTGTGACTTAATTCAGATAGGTATGAGGCCCTGTTTTGGTATTTACTGGAAAAAGTAATATCCCCTATTTGAAAAAGTGATATCACCTGTTCCAATAGAAGATATCACCTATTTGATTTGAATTTGTGATATCACCAATTCGAAAAGTGATATCACTTATTCGAATTGGTGATATCGCCTATTCGATTGGGTGATATCACCTTTTCCCGTCGAACAGCTGTAGTTTTTTTTGCTTACAAATTAATTTATTTCACTTATATATCATGTAAACAACAAGAAAATCGTAGAAAACGCATGAAAACTGGGTAGTCCGAATTTTCTTGGTTCCAGTGGTAATCTATATATTATAGGGATCATTCATTAATGACTGTTGTAAGAAACTCAAATAGGTGCTATCACCTATTCGAATAGGTGATACCACTTATTCAAATAGGTGATAGCACCTATTTAGCACGAAAAGGTGATCACATGGTTAAGTATATAACAGCATAAAGACTTGAGTTACTCTTTATAGAATCTGAAATGCATATTGACTTCATGTTTTTTTTCTTGTGATCATATGCTAAATTGCAGGAGTCCTTTTAGAAAATTTCATTAAAGTGAGTGACATCGATCCCCCCCCCCACCCACCCCCCGCCTGGTTTTCTCATAGAACAAGTGTTAAAATGGAGATAATTTTTTGTAAAAACAGAAATAGTATTGATTTCTCAATTAAAGATAATAAAAAATATGACTTGATGTTTCTGAAAAAAAAAATTACTACAACTTGTATTAATATTTTTTAATGTTCCGTAATTGATGAGACGTAACAATGCCTTGAAGTCTTTAATTAGGATCTACATGTACTTTATATTTTAAGACATATTGGATATCTTTGTCAAAAATTGATACGAGACATAATCAAATAATTAAATTAGCATTCTGAATAACTAAATCCTCTATAATTACTCCACCAATGTATAAAACGAAACACATTTATTTAATATTAAACAGCAACAGCTTAATTTATGCTGATCCCTAGTCTCTAAGTCTTGAATAGAGAAAACTTGTGCCTTATTCCCAAAATTTTCAAATTTTGTTTTGTCAATCTATGTGATAAAATGATTTATATTCGATAATAATGTGAAACTTTACATTCCTATTTAATTGAGTTTACAACCAATTCTAGTTTAATTTGTCATATTTCCCAGAATGCAATCATGGCAATTATTGAAAAAGAAAAAAAAAACATCGCATAGGAGATCATAGAGATAAAATTATGTAATAAGATGAGAAGTTTATCGAATAGGAATCGTAGAAATGGATGCTAGTATGTTTTCGAACAACAACTTTTTTGCATATGAACCTAATAATTATCGAATAAAAAAAAAATTATCGAATAGGAATGACAAAATTAGCGACTAGCAACCGATTGTTTTAAATATTAATGACATCGAATAGAAACGCATGTTTTCGAGAAAAAAAAATATAAAAATTTTATGATATATGAATCATATTGTCACATTTCCTGTAATTGGAATAGCAATTTATCGAATACAAATTTCAAATAATGGAATAGAAATAACAAGTTATCAAATAGATATCACATTCTATAGAATAAGAATGTTTTAGAATAAGAATAATCTCATTCTCAAGGTTATGGTCCGAAAGCGATCAAGCCTGAGACAGCCTATCGACAAATAAGTTAATTGTTACAGGGATTTCAACAATTTATTTAAAGTCAGCATTACTTACATGCTATGGTCGCTATATTGCTCTTTTCACAAATATAACCTATCATTGGAATCATTTTGGTCGATGTGTTTCATTCTAATTTTTAGGCTATAAATTTTGTTATTTTTATACTGAATTTGACTAGATGGGATGGGATGTTCCACCCACCTGATCAATATATATAGGGCTACTTTCTAGATTGCAGATTTTTAAGATTTTTGTTTTATGCCCTATTCGTTGTTTTGTAGTTATTTATGGATGCCATGGATTTTGGAAAGTATTGTCAAAAATAAAGATGTCATGCTTGAAGATAACTAAAACCGTGCACTGTTCAAAATGTACATGTATACACGGGGTGATACTGTATGTTTATTTCTATTATTCTTGAAAAGGGAAAAAATTGAAACCGAAATATAAATAAAGTGATACTGATAAATCCCGTAAAACAACTTCCCAGCTAAAAAAAATGTTCAAACTTTGAGGTGGGGTCAATATTCAACAGGGTCAATTTTCAACTTGTTGACGTCATCAGGTGTAAGAAAAAAAATATCAAGCTGTTGAAAAATGACCCCGGGTATAAATTCAACGACTTTTGGTCTCAATATTCAACGTTGAAAAATTACCGCGGTTCAATATTCAACGTTGAAAAATGACCCCAGGGTCAATTTTCAACTCGGGTCAATATTCAACGTTACACCGGTCCAAACACACAAACTGTGAGGCTGCCACATGGCTCATAGCGCCACTGGCTAGAAACCCCGAGTACTCGGTCTTCCATCCGCTGTAGCAATGTTCTCTACTAGCCAGCATGATGACACTAGTACTACGTAAACTTCTACAGACGGCACACGGAACGTCGTCATTATGGATTCCAGAAACAAAATTGCCCTGATACTCTGAACCGTAAATGGAGCTGGAAGAGGACAGGATATTATGGAAGGTGGGATCACGTGGTAGACAGACATACTCCGCCGCGCCTCCTGTCTGGCTATACGGTGATCCTCCTGTGTAGCCTAAGAAGAAAAGATTGATATGTATAGGATATATTATAAATACACAATCCAATGTTAAAGACAAAAATACGTTTACATTTTTGAATCTTTATCTTTTAATGGCTCCGGAGGATATAATTTTTGAAAACTAGAACATGTTGCTTCTCACCCCAATACACCAATTCCGAGTCGGCGTCGGGACAACTCTTTTTTCCCCATCGAACAAAAGTAGCCCCACCGAAGGCTGAAATTAAATGTTGAAGGATTGTTCAAAAAAGTTTAAAAACTGAAACATTTTGATACATTTTGACTTGCAAGATATTCTTGTTTTGTAACAAACTCTTGAGAGCCATAGAGCAAAATGTTCGAACCAAATTACATGTATATATTCCTTCTTATACCCCCCCCCCCCCCGGCTGAAAAGTTGGAGGGTATATAGTGATCGGGTAGTCCGTACGTAGGTCCGGGGGTACCCATCTCTTGATAATCCGCAACTCTTCATTTATCACTGAATGAAATTTTGAAATTAAAGGAAACTTTCACAGAATCTTTGTTACATAGTGCCATTGTGAATGAAAAGCCAAAGGGTTCAAAATTCCAACTATGTAATTCATAAAATGTGCACATTTAAACCTTATTTGTAAATTGTAAATCATAATTTCATAATTTGTCAATTGTTCTATATCAGTTTGTCAATTGTTCTATCACAATTTTTAAATTGTAAATTATCCAACATAACTTGAAAAGTGTAAAATGTAAATGCAAATAAATTGTGTAATGCGTAGACACACAGAACTTTTCGTATATACAAAGGGCAGGCGGGGGAGGGTCCATCCATGTCAAAATATTCCAAGCCAGAAATATATTTGCTTCAGTATATACATTAAATAACTCTGCACATTTCGGGGGGGGGGGGGGGGCTGTAGACACCCAAACCCCCCACTAGATCCGCGCAGGAAGAGGTGCCAAAAAATAGAACCCGAAAGCTTTTTCAGGTTTATAAAGTAGAATCAAGACCATGCACTAGTATCGAAGGGGGGGGGGGGGCTCCCCCTTCCCGCTTTTTCCCAAACATAATGTTTTACTGTAATTTAGTACCAAAACCTATCATAATTATGGATCGAAAAATTGTCTTGTGAAATATAAAGTACCATACTACTCCCTCCCCCATCCCCGCCGGGTTTCTCAGATAAATGTGTCAATTACTTTTCTATGAGCCCTTTTAAAAAACGATGCTACATACATGAAGACTAGATTTTTTTCTATGTTCTGTTTTTGTGTGATCGTTGGTCCCAAGGCATGGAAGCTTTTTTCTGAATTTCATTTTGTCTCAATAGGGATGCATGGAATAAACTATATGTGCCGATGAACACCAACAAAAAATGCTTCATAAACTTCTGGGATGTATTAGGCTCTATAGAATCATCTGATTAATGTATAAAAACTCTTTGAGGGGTGCAAAGAGGAGGACCCCTCCCCTTCCTAGTCGTGTGGTAGTCTTAAATCTGAAAGTTTTTACTTTCCAAAAGGCGTTATTACGCCTTTTTTTTAAAAACGCGTTATTACGCCTTTTTTTAAAAACGCGTTTTTACGCCTTTATAAAAGACGTTATTTTGCCTTTTAAAAAGGCGTTATTACGCCTTTTAAAAGGGTTATAACGCTTCCTGAATAACCATTATTTTGCATTTAACAGGCCTGTGCTTTTACCCCCCCCCTTCCCCCTCCAACCACCACAACCACCCCGCACTCTACTGGCCAAACTCGTGGGGGGACTTCTCGGTAAAACTTTGTTTAAATGCAATGATTTGCCACAGTTTTACACACTGCAACAAAATGTTCAGGAACCAAGCACCCAGTAGTTAATTATAATATCTAAACTGTAGCACTTTGGGGGGGGGGGGGGGGTTACCCCATTCGCACTCGTACCACAGGCCTACTTGAAAAGGAAAATGGAAAGGCGTTATTTTATGTTAATAAATATATGAAAGATTTAATTAAAACCATCTTTATTACATTTTCAACAATGAAATACTGTAATTTATCCATTGAATAAAAGTGATATCTTGTCACAATGTGATAGGATATCAAAATGATATCCTGTCACAGTGTGACAAATATCAGAAGTGCAGCAAAACTCTCGATTTACCTTCCCATAACAAAAAGTGTTGTAAAAATATTCCTTGGACTGTATTAATATATAGAGAGAGTAAATAAACCATTCTGACAAAGAATAAGACTGTCTATGTTACTGAAATCCATGTTTAAGGATGACGTTTACTCAGGTTTCAGAAAACAGAAAGGAAATTTTAGAAAGTATAATATGTTAGATCAAAAATTGTTCTAAATGGATAAAATGAGCAAGTTTTAAATCAAAATCAATTTAAAAATTTAATATTTTATTATTAAAAGAAAATACACAGGAACAAAAGTCAACGCATGGTAATGCAGAGGAAATTCGGACTAAAATTTTAATTTTTTTTATTTTTGTTAAAATTTTTTATTTCTTGCCATTTAATTACAAAGTAAAGGTAACATGTATTTTTAAACATCATTCTGCAAATATTATATGTGTTAAAGCTCATAAATTATTTCAAAATGATCGAATACTGTGAAATAAAGAAATTCCAAAATATGAACAAAAACCATTCCAGACAACACATCTCAATAATTTGATCATTGACCCCATATAATATTAATACCATGAGGATAAGGGCAACAATAGTAATCTGAAGCTATAAATAATTTAGAGTTCTTATCAGTCAGATTTTTTCAATATTCGATTAAAAATGGGGGAAAATATAAATATGACAGAGGAAATTCGGACTGTAAAAATCATCACATTTACGGCCCAAACTCCAATCATTTCTTTATAAGAAGCAACGCTGTTCCATTGCTATAATATTTCATTATTTAAAGAGTTTAGTTGCTTGTAATATTTTGTGTGTGAAGAAAAAATTGGTCATAGTGTGAAAAATTGAGGTATTTCTCGAGGAAAAACTCAGGAGCCACTAGCATGAAAAGTAGGTCATTGACCTAGTTATTTGAAATTGAAAATTCACACAAGAATCATAGGTGTACAATGTGCAATAGGTGGTTTTTCGTTCTTATCAGTGGAATTTTTGGTCATTTGAGTAAAGGTATACCTTAAGGTAGGTCACTTGTCAGCTTTATGGAAAAGTTCACGCAGAACCTCTTACTTCAAAACTATTTATCAAAATTCAATTTTTATAACATATTTAATTGCAACAATGTTAATGTTTAAACATTCAACGAAAAAACTGCTCAAAAATCTACAAAGAAGCAAGATTTGTGAGGGACTATATTTTGTGGTGGAAGGATATTTAGCAGATAAATCTGCAAATCTGCACATTTATTAAATTTAATATCTTGGAACTTTAGCCTCACATACTTTTACTCAGAGAATATTTTCCATTATGATATTGCTAGGAATATTTAATATAGGTCTTAATTTATAGTTTTAGAACAAGTATTACACCTTCCTTCAACAAACTTTGCCAAAAAATGAAGATATGTCAAATAAGTCAATGTAAAATTTGCATCATTTTTCGCCTGAAAATCACATATTTTGACCAATATTTCAAAATTAACATCACTGACCCCAACTTTTTCTTTCATTATTTTAAAGTACTCGATACTGATCAGCACTAAAGTTGTAAAAAGCTTGATTTAAGAAAATGTTTCATTGCCTATTTAGTTTTTAGTACCCCAAAATATGTTACTTTTTAGTGCAGAAAGGTCACACAATAATTTACGCGCATTAATTTGCAAGATTTTTTCAATTATAAATATTATTCAAAATATTTTACATAAAATAAGATAATATTTTTTGCCATGGTTACATCTGATAAAACATAATTAAGGTTTAAGTAAATAACCAAAGAGTTCAATTTTAAGTGCAAAAAGGTCAACTTCATTGTACCGTAGATCAGTAAGATGAACACTGACCACCTACTTTCTCTGTGATTTTGCGTCACTCTGTATGAGTACTTATCCAAAATATACTTCACAATAAATCCTTGATTTAACAAATTTCACGAGTGACATACCTTAAAATGTTTTCAATTTCGTATCACTTAGCTATGACGTCTCAACCGCTCAACTATGACGTCATATAGCCTATGACTGTATAGAAAAAAAGACAAATAGGCAACGGGAAAATCAAAGAAAATGTAATAAACAGAAAATTCAATGTTTTGTAGTTGAATATGGAATTTATTTCACTCGTGAGACAGGATTTTTTTTTTAATTTTCACTCGTGCTTCGCACTCGTGAAAATATAAAAAAAATCCTGTCCCACTTGTGAAATAAATTCCATATTCAACTACAAACATTGAATATCCTCTATTTATTTATGCAATTCTCTATATTCCTGCACATCTCACTGACAACCGTTTGCATTCGTATTAAGAGAAGGCAACACTCTACTTGTGAAGATACGATATAGGCAGATGTATCTTGGAGCTTTGCTTGCCATGTATTAAAATTCATGTCATTTGAAGATATTTTTCTCTCTTCTTGGAAAAAAGCAGGCAAACTATTTGCATAGGTACTAGTATAATGAGCAATTGAAATCAATGATCCTTGGTAGGGGTGTTCTGGTATTAAAGAAGGACTTAGTTGGTTCAACATTGAAAATATATGACGCATTTAAAAATCTTTTCCCTGGAAATCTAATTGTTATCTGTTTTAATTATTTTTTGAGAAATTAGTCCTGTATCAAATTATGAAATTCATATCGCAAAGGTAAGATTTCTGCAGCCCCCCCCCCCACCCCACCATTTGGTTGGGCTAAATATGTTTCGTCATGTATTCAAAATAAAGACGTAATAACGCCTTTTGGAAAGGCGTAATAACGCCTTTTATAAAGGCGTAATAACGCCTATGGAAAGGCGTAATAACGCCTTTTCAAAAGGCGAAATAACGCCTTTTAGAAAGGCGTAATAACGCGTTTTAGAAAGGCGTAATAACGCCTTTTCAAAAGGGCGTAATAAAGCCTTTTTAAAAGGGCGTAATAACGCCTTTTAGAATGGAAAGGCGTAATAACGCCTTTTTTCGCGTTATTACGCCTTTTCGAAAGGCGTTATAACACCTTTTAATTTTTTTTCTCTCTAGATTGATCCTAGTAGGCTTTCGTAAACACATGATCACTTCAAATAATTTTGATTTAAACTTTCCGTATATACAAAAAATGTGTACTTTACAAAGACATGAAAGGGTCTGTCAATACATTTTTCGGGATGTTCCGGGAATTTTTTTCTAAATGAGGTGGTAGGTTCATGTGTCCACTAAAAAAAGTCATCCAAACGCAAAATTCCTATTTTTCGTGTGTGTGGGAAGGGGGGGGGGGGGGGGGGGGGGTAATGAACATTTCTCGTTGATAAACTGCTTCAAATATTTATATGATACTTCTACTTATTTACATATACGAGATGTCCATAATATTGAAAGCCAACGTGTTCAAAATTCCAACTCTGTAATTCCTGAATTTGTAAATTGTAAATAATAATTTCATAATTTGTTAATTGTTCTCTCACAATTTGTAAACTGTAAATTAATCAACATAACTTGAAAAGTGTAAAATGTAAACGCAAGTTATGTCAATGATCACGTATAATTCGAAGACTTGCGATTTGTCAACCTGTGAAATGTAAATTGTACTTTCGTGTATTTGAAAATTATGCAAGGTTGCATTATTCTGACGCCTATTTAGACGAAAAGGGGGCGCTATAGAGGTGACAGGTTAATTCGTTGCTTAACAATTGAATCATTTCCCCAATTCGTCCTACCATAAAAATATAGAGAAAGACTGATGAAATGTTTATGAATTAAATTTCATGTCTGTCCGTAAGACTCTTTATAAATAATAATATATTAGCAGGGGTATACTCTAGTAAAAACTCCCAAAAATCCTGTTTAATTTTAGATTTTGACATTTTAAAAAGCCTTTTCTGGAGTGTTACTGGCAGATTCGGCAGAAGGGAGGTTGGGGGTTGGAGAGGTCTGGACCCCCTAGGATTTTCAATAATCAATTTTGTAAAGTAAAACAATCAAGAAGTAAATAACCTTGACCATAACTTTCAGGAGTTATGGTATGGAAAGCCAAAGGGTTCAAAATTCCAACTCAAGGTACCAACATGCAGAAGAGAAAATCAATGTACTTTTTTTTTTTTTTTTTTTTTTTTTATAAATTTTAAACTTTCAGGACTTGATTTACAGAGTTGGAATTTTGAACCCCTTGGCTTTCCATAATTGTGACCTCTTGTTTTACTTTTTGATCCGACATATATTTGGGTTTCCCAGAGCAAAACATGGACACTGCCATTCTTTCTATAATTATATTGAAGTGTACATGTATGCCCATCTCTTATCTGCAACTCCTCCTATACCACTGAATAAAATTTAATGATACTTTCACAGATTCTTCATTACATAATGCCATTGTGCATGTGCACCTCTTATTTTACTTTTCGATCTGACTTATTTCGGGTCTCCCAGATCAAAACATGGACTAATGCCATTATAACCTTTAGGGAGGCGCGGATATCATTTAGTGAGCTGATCTTGTTTTAGCTTTGTAAAACAGAGTTTTAACGTACTGTACAGTCACTTGATCAAAGAAACGTCATCTCCGTTAAACCAAAAACCAAACACAAAAAACTTATCCTTATGTATGTTTTTCAATATATTCCCTTTACAGCTTACCAGTTATTTGTTTGAACATATAAAGTATATAATTTTGATGACTTGTAGCTTGAAATTCTTACACAGATTTTCCAGAAACTTTTCATATTATTTATATTCTTTAAAGCTACATTCTGGCGTTATCAGGAAATAATGATAAAAAAATAATAATCCTAAGTTTATAAGAAATATTCTGCAGTTATTTTTTCTATATCTTTCTATAAGTTTTTCTGTATAAATAATTTTGAGAGGAACCACAGACACTTGACTTACATATTTTTCTTATTAAAAATATCCCCCATACCTAAGAATTCGTGAACTATTAGGAAAGGGGTTATTTTTTTTAAAAAATATGTAATTGCAAGTGCCTCTGATATGAACCTATCTTAGTTTATACATGGTTTTTTTTCTGGAATGCTATGTAATGAATATATTTGTTATGGGTTTTCAAATATAAAAAGTTTGACTAATCCTAATTAAAACGCACCTTTAGAATTGTTTGCCCTCAAAGTTTCCACTTCCCTCGTCAAAGACTGGATTTTAGATTCCATTTCCTGAAGCCGATTTTCAAAATATTGAGGATCACTTATCAGTAACCGTTTCTGCTTCTCGGACTGAGTGCAAACAAAATTCAGAAGGGGGAACACCACAACGTAGAGGAGGAAATTTCGCGACATATTGCTAATTGTACAATATGGTCTCTTTTAGTTCCTTAGATTGTTAGAATTCCCTTATCTTATCTTTCTAAAGTGCATGCAGTTGTAATAACAATGAAGAAAATTTTCATAAAAAGGACAGGAGTTTGAAAATATTTAAAACACAATGTAACTTTAAACGTTTATGATAGTTGAATTATGATTTTTTTGTCCCCCGCTTGAAAAGTGGGGGATATTAATTTGGGTCTGTCCGTCCGTCTAGCTGTCCGTCCGTCTGTCCGTCTTTCTGTCTGTAACGCTTTCGTTTCCACACGATATCTCGAGAACCCTTTGAGCTTTCGCAATGAAATTTGGCATAGCAACTCCCTATGGACTAAAGAAGAATCCTATTGATTTTGAGGTCAAAAGGTCAAAGGTCAAGGTCATAAATTCGCAAATTCTGTCTTTTATAACACTTTCGTTTCCGCACGATATCTCGAGAACTCTTTGAGCTTTTGCAATGAAATTTTACATAGCAACTCCCCGTGGCCGAAGGAAGACCCCTATTGATTTTGAGGTCAAAAGGTCAAAGTTCAAGGTCATAAATTTATACATTCTGTCTGTATGAAACACTATCATTTCCGGGCGATATTTCAAGAAGATTTTGAGCTTTTGCAATGTAATTTTATACTAAAACTCCCTAGGACCTCTCTCACCCCCCTCAAAGTGTCCCGCCCTGTTTGTTTTATTAGTATTTATTGAATTATATGTCGCTATTTTTAGCACAGGGGCATGAGGAGAGTTATTACGTATAAAACAGGTTCTCGGTGGACTATATATTCTTATTACATCTATTAGAACTGTTTAATACAGGTTAAATTAGATATCATGCATTGTGTAAAATTTTCACAATATCGAACGTGAATATATACCTATGTGACTTCATAAAATAGCATCATAATTTATATGAATTATTAAAACACATCTTTTTAAGGAATCATGGTTAAATAAAGCAATATTTTGGAATTTTGTGCATTGTTGCCTCTCGAATATGATTATCCAATAATTGTTTTTCGAGTTTTGCTGTGTTTCAACGATTTTATTTTGACTTCTCTAACAGATTTTATTTAATCAAAAAAAAAAAAAAAAAAAAAAAAAAAAAAAAAACAAACAAAAAAAAAAAAAAAAAAAAAAGGATTGCTCCAATAAAATTAATTTTATAATCACAATTTGTAAGCAAGACAGTATATGCTAGTACACGTAGGTTTAAAATGTAATACTAATATTCTAGTCCAGTATAGGTACATGAAGGATATGGAGATAACGAACAGTATTCAATATCAAATTCCTTAAAACAATACAAAATAGGAGCATAGCAAACACATCGGAGGTGGGATCAGGTGCCATGGAGGAGTGAGAATCCCGCGCATGCTGACCGGTCACACCCGCCGTGTGCTCCTTGTCATGATCGGGAAATAATGGAAAAATCTGTCGTCAATTCAGTGTATAAATAATCGACTAACAATTAGTATGAACAAGCTAATTCAGGGAATTTTTGTCCCCCGCTTTGGGAAAAAAAGTAAACCATGCGCAGTTCGAGGGTAAAGGGGGGTGGAGTCGGATCCCCCTGACTGAATTATTATGCCATTATTGTAGAAGTATTAAATGTATACATGTATACTGAAACAAATAAAATATGCCAATATGGATATAAAGATTTGATTGCTTATTCTTTATAATATGTGTAGAAGATCCTTTTTACATGTATATGGAATATTTATCACACTGTAATGATGATTTTATGAGTTTGTGCAAGCCAGACCTCATAAATTTTTCATTTCACATGTTGAATACTATCATTTTGTTAAAAAAAAAGTATTTCGGAAAAAAAGGCAATGAATCATCCGAGATTCGAGCCCAGGACCTCTCACATATGAAGCGAGAGACATACCACTAGACCAGGAACCGCTTTTCTTGATTGAAATTTATATGCAAGGATGGAGTCACATACATGTATATATTTACGTTCGAGATTGTCAAAATTTTATACACAATGCATGGTGTCTAATTTAACCTTTATTAAACAGTTCTAATAAATGTAATAAGAATATAAAGTCTGCCGAGAACCTGTTTTATACGTAATAACTCTCCTCATGCCCCTGTGCTAAAAATAACGACATGTAATACAATAAATACTAATAAAACAAACGGGGCGGGACACTTTGAGAGGGGTGAGAGAGGTTTTAGGGAGTTTTGGCATAAAATAATAATGCAAAAGCTCAAAATCCTCTTGAAATATCGCCCAGAAGGGATAGTGTTACACACAGACAGAATGTATAAATTTACGACCTTGAACTTTGACCTTTTGATCCCAAAATCAATGGGGTTCTTCTTTAGTCCATAGGGAGTTGCTATGCCAAATTTCATTGCGAAAGCTCAAAGGGTTCTCGAGATATCGTGTGGAAACGAAAGCGTTACAGACAGACAGAATGACGGACGGTTAGACGGACAGACGGACGGACAAACCCAAATTAATATCCCCCACTTTTCAAGCGGGGGACAAAAACGTCAGTCAGCATTTGATTCAATGATAAATTGTATTTTCTGACAAGGTCATTGTATCGACCAAAGAACTTACGAAATGATGACTTTAAACGAGACTGCTGATATTCTTGTTTTATGAACTCGTTTGTCAATAATTTACCTCGTTTTAGAAATTGTTCATGCGTAGAGCATGCTCTTGCGTATCGAATCAACTGAGATATATAAACGCCGTATGTAGGTGATGAAGGTATATTGCTGCATAAGTAAGGGAAGTTAATTGACGATAGAAAAGTTAAAGTTATCACGTTTATCATAGAGCTTGGTTTTTAGATTACCATTAACGTCTTTTTCAAGTAAAATATCCAAGTATGAAACAGATGTGTCAGACTCTGTGGTATCTTTTATCTCAAGCTCTCCTGGATATATCGCATCGACATACGAATGGAAATTACCATTGTTAATTGGCAACACGTCGTCGATATATCTAAATGTTAAGTTCTTTTCACGCATAAGATTTTGCACATATTCTGCTCCATATGAATACAAAAAAAGGTCTGCTAATAACTCCTGCATTATTGGTGTGAGAAAGCTTCTATTCGGTGAGCAGAGTTTTGACACTGTTTTTGGAGATAAAGGAAATATACTGAAAGGAAAAAGAGGGTAGCAAAATATTCGAAATTTTTTTGACCGCATGTCCGAAAATTGGTCAGATGAGATTGAATGTTAGTTACTTTGCACCAAAATTAGTGTTTAGAATTACTCAACCGTGAAATGTATGACCTCACTTAGAGAAAACGTTAAAAAGCCCAAAACACGTGCAAATTGATGACGACGAGTTTGTCAACAAATCTTTCTGTACCATTTGATGCACCTGAGGTATACACATTGTTTTTCAATATTTACGGACGATATAAATCTCTTGCACATTTGGTACAATTTACGGAAGTTCCATGAGGTCTGGTTTTCGAAATGCCTAAGTTAGGATAAAGGCAACAACGGGTTACTGAGTAGCTTCTTGTAAATTTCCCCCCATAGATCGTGTTGCGCATTGTTAGAGAGGGCATAGAATGGTTTCCAACCAACCGTTACGATGACGTTGACGCGAAACAGAGTCACGTTAAGATCGGGTTATTCGATCTGCCACCTGTTTAATCGCCACCTTCCTATAATAATCATTTTATTCACCCCAAAACTGAAAGAAACCTATTGTGAAATTTGGGCTTTTGAGTCGGTAAACTCTATGTTGCGTTCCTCTCATTGGCGCATACGCGCGCCGTCTGCCTTATTTTTCGGCGTAGTTACCCATGCCCAGTATTGCCAGGGTTTGAAAGATAAAACACTTTGATGAATTCCATGCAAAGGAGAATCAGGAGAAATTGTGGCAGATGCACGGGGAAGACATTGATAAAATTGAGAGTTTTCGATTTTCACTTTTGGGGGGTATCGTCAAATAAGTTTCAAGAACTCATGAATTATAAGAAAAAATCAAATGGGATTTTGGTAACATTTTCTTTAAGATGATTTTAAAGGTTCGATAGGAAGACGGAAAAAAAAAATAAAAAAAGATAAATATATTTAATTCACCTCAAAAGTTTACCCTGCGTTTCTTTTTCCTTTCAGCATATAAAGACAAGCATGTCAAGTATGGTTTTATTGATAATTATTGTAGGAGAAAATAAAAACGATCAGTTTTTCAGCGCATTTTTTCTGAAAGTGATTCTGGGGAGAGGGGTACTCCTTGTAGTTCGGAGTTGGATATCATTGTGTTATTATTATACTAAGAGAAAAAAAATGCATGTTAATAGGATAGAAATAATTGCTTGGATGTTGACTCTAAGAAGAGATGCAAACATGATAAAGAAATGAAACCCATGGAGATAAAGAACAGTACTCGGTCAAGATCAAAAGTCCACAAAAACAACACAAAATAGGAGCAAAGCAAACACGGGTCTTCAAAACATCAGAGGTGGGTTCAGTCCCCTGCCGACTGGTCACACCCGCAGTGTGCTCCTTGTCACGAACGGGAAATAACGGAAAAATCACTTTCCACCAATTTGTTTTTAGCATCTATTTCTTTGACGATTAATTACTAGTATATCTCTCAAAAAGAGTATTCAATTATGAAAAACGCAGAGATTCGGTCGACGCTAACGCAAATAACGTTTTTTTTTCTCAGACTCGATCAAACAGACAGGATTTCAGTGATATAATAGAATTTATGAGACAACAATACCAAATGTACAATATACAGTTCAATAGCAACAATTCGTATAAAGTATGTTTAATTATCTTCAACAGGAGCACTATTGGGGAATGATATTTTTAATTTGGACGACTGTTGTTTGTTTTTAGGTGGACCTCCAATTTTGCGCATTGGTAATCCATCTCGACTAAACAAAGGGAAATAACTGGGTGAATTAGTTGTTCTCTGAAACCCTGCAATCGGTTCTCCCGCCAATTTCGTCACCGGCGCCGTGTTTGCCGGTTTCACAGGGGGC